GGAGCGGGGCTGGCCGGCAGCCGGAGCACCCGGGGTTTGATTTTTAACCGGGTGTTTTCGTGACGAGGCAACGTGTAACCCAGCGGCCCCGTCCCTGGCTGTCCCGGCTCCTGCCAGCTGTGAGAAGCCGCTTCCCAGGAAAGCGAGCAGAAATTACTCAGGCAGTGCCTAATAAGTGTAAGCTAAATCCTGAGGTAGCGTGTTGAGCAGCTACGAAGTTGTGGAACCATTGGAAGAATACGTGTTTCTTTAAAGATGCCAGATATCATTCCCACTGCTCTGTTTAACATTGGGTACGTTTGACTTCGTATCAGGAGATTGTTTTGAAGAGGAGCTCGCTCTATCTGTACTTGAATCTTCTGGTCAAGAAACCGCTTTTCCCTAAATGAAATAAATTTTTTCCCCTAAATGAACCCAGAATTTAAAATGAGCAGTAAATAGAAGTAATACTAAATTTATATTTTCATAGCTTTGTATTAAGGTGGGGATTTTAGGCTGTTAACAGTAGGATTTTTTGGTTTATGATGCATAATCCTAGGCCCAGTCTCATGGCCTGGATTCATACACTACAAGTAAGTAATTTCGGTGATATTAGTCACCTGAGTGTGACTTGAAAGAACAGCTTTTTAGGTGGGGTTGTTACTCAAGCAGATGGTCAGTGATTGAGGCAAAGCTATTTTGCTCAATAGTAAACTCTGTCTGGTGATTAACACTTAAACTTTGTGTGTTTCACCCCTCTGGTTATATATAATTCCACCATGCTAGAAAATACCATACTGTACGTTCGCTACGTCTGTTTATACATAACACTGAACAGTTTTATCCAGCACTAACATACTAGCACATCTTTTATAAATCAAAATTCTAAAATAGCCCGACTGTCAAATGAACGAGATTGTTGTCTGATGGTGTATGAATTAAACCCAAGCCATACCCAGATAGAAATACACTGCATTTCTGGAATTGAAAGTGCTTCAATATCCACGTTCTTAAAGGATTGAAAAGCCAAAGCTCTTCAGACTACAGCTGGAATAATGCAGTTTTATTTCAGAAGAGCTTTCTCTGTGCTATATTTTCCATCTGTGACTTTCAAGTGAGATCTCTTCACTTCCTGGTTATAATTTTTTTTTTTTCTAACTGTTGATCTGGAATGATTTATCTGGGATCTGAGCATCATACTGTTCCCATAATCCTCTTCACACTAACTACAATAAGAGGATTTTGTAGGCTAAATTTGTTTGCGGCCTTCTTAAAATACTTCATTCCTTTCCGTAATGTTTATGAAATATTGTACTGAAAAACTAGATTATCCCTGGAAAACACATCTTCAAAACATTTGACTTTTGGAAAAAGGACTTGTGGGTGCATTTGGAGGGATGTGTGTGCACCCGATCTACAGCAAGATTAGCCAAGCACGTACACCTCGCAAGCTAACTAAATGACAACAGTTTGTTGAGTGTTTGTTTAGAGTAACGGTGTTCTGCCGATTCCTAAGAAAGGAGTAGGATAATGATACTCCTTTTGATTTAGCAGCTGCGCTGTTGAAACTTGATCCCTTTTTGGCAAAGCCACTAGCTCTTGTACAGCTGGTTTGTTTTATTTAGCAAGCTTGCACATAAAGTAGGTGGGAAACAATAGCTAGAAATAGGTTGCTCAGATGAAAACGAAGGCTGTGATTTGGCCTGGCAGTCAGGGCATGAGGATTAAATCAAGTATGCCTGATTCTGCTTGTTGTGCTCTCAAAACTCAATTAGACACCAACATCCTCTTAATGAGAATTTATTACAAGCTGGGGTTTTGTGTGGGATTTTTTCTGCCAATGTGCTTTTCATAGAGGAATTATATTTTAAGTTTGTTCTAAGATATTAATTTCTTAACTAACACCATAATAAAAAGCCTTGATCATGAATACGATTGTACCTTTTCATATCCAGAGACGCTAGAATTGAATGGAGGCTTACTTTAAAACCAAACCAAACAAAACAACCGATATCTCTGATCATATTTCACTTCTGTCAAAATATTACAGGTCTGATAGGGGTTTTTTCCTGGTTTTTTGTGGCTCATTAGCACAACAGGATAATGAGGGGAAAATACTTCTGAGTTTAAATGTTCTTAGTTCATATAAATGCACTGAGCAGAAGTGCCTTGTTTGGGGGACAAAGCATTCTATACAATGCGGCAAAAATACTTAAAACTAGGGGTAGTTTAAAGCTATTACAGTGTCTCACCTTAGTCGTGCTTTCCATCCACAGTGGCTTTGGACTAGCATGGAGCCTGCTGAAGTAAGATCAGCACCTCTTTTTTCCTCACCGATGAGATTTGATACTACCCTTGAGGAGGTGTTGTGGAGGCAAGTTAAATAGCCAGAAATATCAGTAAGGCTAAATAAGTTGGTGTCACAAAATTGGTCTGTCACAGAGAAACTCCTCAGTTTTGGAATTGGCAGGAGCCATGCAGAGCCCTGGGTCTTGAAGTTGATACTGTTTTGGGATGCGTGGTGCAGTTTTACACTTGCCTTCAAAATGAAGTGTCACTCAAAGCCTGGGGTTTGAAGGAGTCTGCTTTTGGTCTTCAAACACAAGGTCTAGAACATTCTTTGCATTTTAAAAAAGAAGTTTAGAATCTGGTAGCATCATCGGACTGGGACGCTGGGCATAGACGCATTGTACTGGTGCCTTATTCCACCCCTGCTGTAAACACTGGCGTGTATTTTAGCATTCTCTGTCATCACAGTGAATGTGCAGGCACTCTTTGCAAGGCATGATGACTTTTCTGAAAACTCTAAGAAATGTAATTGCAGTTGTTTTCCTCTTTAGATGACTTTAAGCCAGCATCGATTGATACATCTTGTGAGGGGGACCTCCAAGTTGGTAAAGGAGATGACGTAACAATCACTTTGCCGCATATTCCAGTAAGTTTGTTATGTATGTGTCCTTGCTTACTCTACCACCAATTTGCAATGTAGTTACAGTCTAATGTGTATGAGGGTTTTTTTTTCTTTCATCTTTGTTAACACGAGTGGATTCAATATTTCAGCAGCCAGTCTTGTACTGTGTTACCTTAGGGAAGGACTGTACAATTCAGTCTTTGTAGAGGGTTATATTTGTAAGGTTCCAGTCTGTTCTTTACTTTTGATTCTTTCCTTCCTACTCTTCCTTGAATAACAAGAAGGCTTTTCCTGTTAGCTGAAGCACTATACCTGATTTCTATCCATTTTTACTGCTATGGCTTAATGAAGAAAGGGAGAGTAATTTGGGCTTTAGTCAAGGTTTGATGTTCAAAAGCCACAAGTAGGCCTGTAAGCGTATTCTTCCCATTACTAAAGCATGTGCAGATAGTATAGAGGGTTCCCTGCCTTTAGCTTTATCACTGCAAGCGAGGGGGATGGTTCTGGTGGGTGGCAATGAAATGGTTTTCGCATCTACTTCCTCCTCAAATTACATCATAAAGTTCTACTGTGTGAGGGTGATGGCCAAACAGCAATAAAACAAGTGATCAAGCTGTTTATAGGTGCAGCTGTTTTGTAATTGAAGGTTCAATGGTTTCCTTACCAGAACAAAAGAAAGTGCTTGCGTGCTGGAACTGGATTGTTTGCTAGCCAAAGCTAGCGCTATGTGTCAAGCCAATAAACCAGAATTCACAGATATCAATGAGTGTGGTGGTTTCGGGGGGGCACCAGTCAGTTTGGAAGCCATGTGTCAGATCCTTTTGGTATTGTTTATTCTAGCGTGGTATGGTACTGTGATAATTCTCGCTGAATTAGGCTTTAGCCTGCTTCCCCCACTCCTGTTTTTCAGATGGCTTTTGGTCACTTCTAGTGCTGCCGGAGGTCACATACTGCTTTTTATCTATAAAAGTGACTAACATGGCAGTGCTCTTTGAGAGCAGGTAACAAACAGTACAATAAATAGCAGTAGCATTCATCTTGGATTGACTGGGAGCAGTATTGTTCATTCATCTTTTGTGCTGAACGACATTGTAATGTCCCTTTTCCGAATCTCTGTACTGATAAGTTTAACTTGATTGTCTTCCCAGGAGTAGGAGCAGCTTTAAGCTTATAGTGTGCTTCGGAGGCTTAGGCAGCTCACTGCAGTGAACGCAGCCACCACGCGTGTATTGTTCCAAGGCAGTGCTGCCTGTGTTCCAGACAGAGAGCTGGAGAACACTGAGCGTGCTGGAAAAAAGTGAGAAGTTTTGAGGTTGTTTCATCCTGACAATATTTACAAAATTTCTTGGATCCTGCTTTGGTTCCCAGTTGCCCAACTACTGGATAAAGTTCAGGTTCTCAGTTGTTTTTTGAAATTGCCTGGTCCCTGAGGGTATTTCTGGTAATTTGTTCAAGGGAGGTATTTTGGTGTCCCTTGCTGCTTGGATAAATTGAAGTACTATTTCTACATGCGGATTTAGTGGCTTTAATAGTTGATAAACAGTCTTGGTTGGGGAAGTGAAGAATTTTTGTTTGTTAAAAAACCCTCATGCATGAAAGCAAATTGATTGTGTCACCTGTTTCACCTACCTCCTTCTTCTAACCTGTAATCAGCAGAATCTGTAAGCCAGTGTTATTTAGGCACTAACATAAAACCTGAACATTTAAAGTAGGAGGGTAGGGCTGTTAATTTGTTTAAGCAGGGTTCCATTTCTGGGTTTTTTTTGGCTTTTAGTCAAAATCACATCTTTCCTGAGTTAGGAAGCTTCTGGGTAGCAGAATGATAGCCCATAAACTTTGATCAATTGTTATTAAATTTGTGCTTTATGCATTTCCTGACATAGTTGTCAACAGCGAGCAGGATTTGACTTACACCTTGCTTTTTATTCTCTTAAATGTTGCTTTCCCCTCTTAAATGTAGGAATGATAAAAATGCAATGTGCATTTGAAGGCTGCACTTTCTGGAGGTATCTTCTTCTGAATCCTGTACCTATCTTTGTTGGAAATTCAGACTTTTCACCCTTACCCTTCCAAAGCCATTATTCTATTTATTAGCAATACAGAGAAAAGGAATTGCATTCTGAGTGGTTAAAATATGATTCTTCCTTTCTGCTACTCATAATAAAATGTGGAAGAGGGCGTTTTTTCCTTGTCTACCCGATTTTGGTTGTTTTCCTACAGCATGTGCAAAAGCGCACATGAATAAACTTCTTATTGTATGTTACAGAGAAGTCTGAGAAGGTTTCATAGCTGGGAACATATTTATGTATTACCTGTTTGAAGAACATGGCCTTTTTTTGGTGTGGCCAGCTGTGTGTCCATGCTGCTGTGTGCAGATGGACCACAGATTCTGCCGCCTGTAACCCCAAACCCAGGAGTGTGAGCCAGCCTGTGCCTGGATGCAGTACAGCTGAAGTTAATCTCAGCAACATCACTTAGCCAGCGTGCACCACCACCACATGAGTCAATGGCTTAGGCTGAGAAGCAATAGACTTTTATGGCTCCATGCAGCATTGTGTGGACTTGGGGACTTTCTGGAAGGCGTCAAAATACCCCATTTGCTTTCGAGAAGCTGTTTCGGTACAGCTGCATGGCATCTACATGCTAATCTGACTTCGGAGAAGGGTGCTGTTCTTACATGGTTTGTGATAGTTGCTTGTAATCCACTATGAAAACACTGCCTTTATGACAGATGAAATACAAAGCAGTTTATTTTTCAATTGACCATATATTTCTTTAGGCAACAGTTCAGCTACACAAATAATTAAACTTTATTTCTTACCCAAACCCAAGATTTCCAGAGCAGAAATGTCAAGAAGATTTCTGACACTTGTCAGAGCCAGCTATGTAAATTGAGTTATGTTACCATTTTAGGAATGAGAACTGTTAAATAATGACAACCGTGGAGAAGATGTTTTGTCACTGCAGAGACACTTAAAATTATGAAAGGCGTAATACTGCTGTGAGGAAACGTCTGATCTACTGCTTTAACTGTATTTTTCCGTTTCCATGAAAGAACATTTTCTGTAGGAACTAAGCATCAATTGCTTAGCCCCTTGGTCAGAATAACACATCTTTTCTCTTAGTGTTTGTAAACTTTTGGGTAAGGGAATATAACAAAAAAACCCCATGTGTGTGCTCTTTCTTTGATACTAGGGTTCAACTCCACCAATGACTGTGTTTAAAGGAAATAAAAGGCCGTATCAGAAGGACTGTGTGCTTATTATCAATCATGACACTGGGGAATATGTGCTGGAAAAACTCAGTAGCAGCATTCAAGTCAAGAAAACAAGGTAAAGCTGGGGACAGGGTTGTTGATAGGTAGTCATGTTTAATTACTAAGCCTTATGGACTTCACACGGCCAGTTATCTTGCCTAAAGATGCAAATCGGAGTGTGAATCCAAGAGTAAAGAATCTGCAAGTTCTCCACTGCTGAAAGGACATAATTATAGTTTGTAATGAAATGCTTCTGATGATCTAAAGGTTTGGAAGCTGGCTGAAAGATGAGATGGGTTTCAGGTATCTACTTAGCTGAAAAAGGCCATGGAAATATGTCAAAAGGGTTGTTGGACTTTCTAGGTTTGTTCCCTCCAGTTTCCTGGTGGGAGTCATGGTGCTTTAATAATACACTCTTAACGCTGTATTGGGTTAGTGTCCTATAAAGCGGAACACGGTCTACAGCCTTCAGCTGGACTACAGGTTATTGAGAACTAAAGAGAAAGCTCTTTTTCAGATGTCTTGTGAAGAAGCAGCTCTTAAAGAATTTTACAAGTTTTACATTTAAAAAAAAAAAAAGGAAAAAATCCCACTTTATTGCAGCGTAGAACTTTCAACTGCTAAAACTACTAGAAATGTGGGTTGCAGCTCATCAGCAATTGGCTGGAAGTTTTCCAAGAACACCTTGAGTTCAGGGTAAATGGACTGTAACGCTTCTCTGAATAGGTGATGGGAAAACTCATCTGTGTGGCATTCATCTTGTCCAGTAGATGTGAGCACATCATAGATGAGATTTGAATTCCCAATTTCAGCACTGCTGGACTTTTTCAGCTGAAGCTTAAGTCAGAAAGGAGCAGAGAAGTGCAGGAGGGCTGGGGTTTAGTGAGGTGTTTGGATCCTGGGAGTTTTTGGTCCTCTTGAGGTGAAAAATATTTCAGCTTTTCTCAAGCAGAGGCAAGGTAATAAAAAATTGGGGATCTCTACTTTGAGGAATAGTGCTTTACAAAGTCATTCAGATTTATAGAATAGAAGGGTCTTTTTTTTTTCTTTTCCCATGAGTACTTTGATCTTTAACGACCTGTTGACACTCTCTGGGAGCAGAGATTTTAGTGTAAACGTCCTGATGGCATTCACAGGGGGAGTAATTGCACTTATTCTACAAAAAACCTTCCATTGTTCCAAGAGCATAATAAATAGTGGAAACAATCTTTTGCTTTTACCATTCCTGTACTGTAAACGAGACTGTAAGCTGTATGTAATAGCTGTTTTTCAGTGATGAATGAAAAGGTGGTTCTGTGCTTAATTTTTGATGTTGCATCTACAGCTCAGTGGGGCACAGAGACACTTGAGTTTGTGCTAAACGTACTAGCTCAGATACCAGAAATGGTTTAGGTGAAGTTTCAGGAAGTTCCACCTGGGCTACTTTATCTTGTTTCTCAATGGGATTAGTTCACAGGCTTGACAAAGCATCACACTGCTGAGCTGGGACTCTCCTAGAACCGAAACCAAGCTCTGATATCCACAGAAGTTGCTTCTGTGCTACACTACATAAAGCCATATCCCCAAAGGTTTTGGTGTTATGTGATAAATACACCACACATTTTAACCTCGTTATGGTGTCCCATAGAGGGACCTTAATAAGTATTTTGTTTCGGGGTTCTTCTCTGCCGAGGGTATTGGCTGTCCTGCAATCTGAACCGCATCACTGATTCAGTCAAAGGGAGCAATACCTGATCTGAATTGAACAGCTAGGCATAGCATCCATTATTCTGGAGACCACTTCCCACTATGGAAACAGCTTAAACTGTTCTTAAGGGATAGTAGCAAATGAATGAAAACCAGGAATTAAGTGCTTATGCGCTGTATTTAGCAGTAAGAATGATTGCTGTAGTCAGGTTGATCTAAGGGGGTTCGGCTAGATATGATTTAATTGCAAGTGAGAAAATTGTTTCTTTTGCTGTGATTGTTTTAAGCAGGATTTTGTTATGACTGGATTTGTTTTACCATGTAGCTACTTTAAATTACTATGATTGCTTATTCTTTTTTAAAAATACAAATACTAATTGCTAAATTAAAACCTTCATTGTTCTTCAAGTAGAGAATTTGGCACCACTGAACTGCATCTGGATTTGAAAATACATTTTGTGAGGGCGTTGCAGTATAGTTGTATATGCATATTTGCTATTGAAAGCACGTGTTGAGTACAGCAAGCTGTAAATCACTGTTTATCTTTATAAAACAAAGTAGAGATCAGCACAAAAGGAACTCGGAGATGATGGATTAGTACAAGGATACTGAAAAAGCGAAACACAATTGCACAGTACTGCTGAACGTCTCTGGTTGTTTTTTCAGAGCAGAGGGCAGCAGTAAGATCCAAGCCCGGATAGAACAACAGTCTGCCCGAGCATCACAGCCTCCTCCACAGTTCAGAGCCCCAACCAAGCCAGCGGTTGGACCTAAAACTTCTCCTCTGAAAGATAATCCTTCACCTGAGCCTCAGCTGGATGACATTAAGAGAGGTAAAGAAGGGTTTGTAGCTTTCTGAGTTTTGGTTGATTTTGTCTTTCTTCTTTATGATAAAAACTGTGAGTGTGAATTTTATAAAAACATGTTAGAATGTTCAGGAATTGTAAGATGACACTTGACAGCTGGTTTGCCATTTTTATATCTTGTTTTAAGGCATGCTAGTGAATTATTTCATAGAGCCACAGAATGGTTTGGGTTGGAAGGGACCTTAAAGACCATCCAGTTCCAACCCCTCTGCCATGGGCAGGGACACCCTCTACTAGAC